TTTATAAAATGTATGCACCTAATAATGTTTCCAGGAGCTGGGACGTGCGAATGGTTGCTCGTCCCACCCACTCAGAGCCCTGGCCAAGCGGGTATTTTGGTGTGACTTCCTTCTTTTATTCAAAGTCCACGATGCCAAAGCACTCCTGGTGATTATTTTTATTGAACACTTTGCTCTTCGCCCTCCTGCAAAATATTTTCCTATTTCCCTGTATTAAGGTGTGGCGCATTTTAATAGCCCCAGGGCTGTTGCCATGGGTTGGGAGGTTTAGCTCATTCCCAACCTTTTAATCAAGAAACCAAGGTTACAGGCCCCAGTCCAAAAAGGAGGGGGCAATGCCAGGACCTGCATATTTTCCAGGCCCCAGACAACTCTCAGTTAGGCCAGGAGAAGACTTTGAAGTATCCCCTCACCAACCAGTTATAGAAGGGGAAAAAAAGAGCCTAACTGCTAAAACCACATGCCAAACCATTAAATTTACATTAAAAACTGTGAAATTATTCTTTTTTCTTTAGAGATCTTACTGATCAAAAGTCAAAGTTACTAAGAAACATCTCATAACAAAACTAAACATGTGATTTTAGAGACCTGATTACAAAGAAACATTCAGAATTTCTTCTAGGAGCTACCTGACTCCTGGTAGATTTCAGTTGACTAAATTTGACTCTAAGTATTGGTGACAGAAGGAGCATCTCCTTTGAGGAAGACTCTAAAAGTTAGAAGATATGGAAGAAGAAAAAAGTGATTGTCACAGGAGCCTGGAAGCTGTTTAAATAAGTCCTCTCTGCCTCCCTAGGATTAGACTACTGCAAGGAATTTCAGTGCCAAGGAAATGTAGCAGTTGGGAGTTGAACACGCGGATGGGCTTACAGAGAGAACAGGCAGCTGTCTTCCGAGAGGGGATTTCTCCCTGCACAGTGCCCTCCCCGGGTACCCCACCTCTATCGAAAAATAGAATCCTCCAAAGATCAACCAGCATGAAAATCCACCTAGCAGTTTCATCACCCAGCTAGAGAATCTGTCCCCAGTTAAAATGCAAACGCATGAGCAGGAGTAACACACTGTGGATTGTTGGATGCCTCGGTGCTCAGAGTTGTATTCAGTCTTTTCCCAGAGGTGCCTAAGGGAGGATGTTTAACTGGGAAAACAGGGGAGAGCCCAAGGTTAAAAGGGGACAGTAGGAATCCATGGAGGACAAATGAGGGTGTCCTGAGGAGGGACAAAGGCATCAGAGAACACATGGATTCCATCCTGGTTCTGAATGGGCAAGCCCCACTGGGTGCTAATCTGGGGGTCAGGCACGTGGGAACCTTGAGTCAGAAGAGGCAAATCCTCTCCCCCAAAATCAGTTCCATCTCCATAGGAGGATACTATCCAGCAAGTCAGTAGCATAGCCAAGAAGGAATTCGAGATGTTAGACTAAGATAACAACAAATAAATGCTGCCAATGGGCTGGTGATGGCAACTCATGCAAACCTATAACCCACTGAACACTAGGTCTGCCTTGGTTTCATTTTGCAAAACATGGCTTCTAAGTTAAAGTTATTCCTGCCGGCAAGTTCTCCTATTGTAAAAGAACAGGACATTAAGGAAAAATCTGTTTCTAACTAGAGTTTCTTATAGCTTATGCTTGCCTGACTCCAAGTCCCCATTCACTTACTCCCTTGACAAGCTTTGGAAAGGCTTACAGAAAATAAACAGGTGCCCCTTCATAACTAAATAATTCCCCAAATTAAATCCACCTCTTTCTCTACCGGAAAATAATGCCTACTCCTGTTCCTTCCACAGATACACAGAATTACAGACGATTCTCCATCTGCCATGCTAATGGGTCAATGGAAAAAACAAAAACAAACAAAAAAAACCTCACTCTTGAAGAAGAGTTTCAACATCCTCCCTCAGAACAAACAACAGACTGAAATGGGCAGCTAACAATTAGTAAAAGAATGGACTGATTCACTTTTTACTACCCTTCTTGAACCTAGAGGGAGTGCTAGTAAAAAAAAAAAAAATAAAAATAAAAATCTAACCAGGCAGCTGAATGGGGAAGGTTGAGGCAAACAAAACAAAACAAAACAAAACAAAAAACCTAAGATCTAGATGAACTTCAGGGTCATGGAGCCATCTGAAGTGTGATGGATGTTACAGACCTTTGGCTTCTAAAAACACATATTATTTTGCATAAAATGTCAAGAGATACATGAACCCTTTGGTGCCCATTCATGGACCCCCAGAGGTATAGAATCTCTGCCTAATTTCTAGAATTTAGTCAACAATATAATTGCCCACTGAGAGGTACCTATAAAAAGGCTCTCTGCCACATTCTTTATAAAAGCCTATTACTGGAAACAACCTAGAGCACCATCAAGAGGGGACTAATTAAGTAAGATCATGGCCAGTAACAAGAATGGGATGAATCTATGAGCACCCCAGGAAACAAAGGCCAAAAATGTGTTTTCACTGAAAAACACAAGGTAAGAAACATTGGGCCAAGCATGACTGTATAAACATATTATTTCTGAAAGGGCACACAAGGAACTAGAAACAGTGTGTGTGCCTGAGATGGAAGCCTGGGCCATAAAGGGCTTGAAGTTGGCAGAAAAATTACTTTTCTATTTTTAATCCATGCTATTACTTTTTTAATTAAAAGAAAACTAGTTGGAGAGAGATAAATAAGTAGCTGAATGGAGAGAGAGAGAGAGAGAGACTTATGGTTTAAAAAAATAAACTTCTGGTCTAGCTAAGTCCCAAAATATCCCCAGCCTTGAAAACAGTTGATATCGTAAAACATTTGGCAGCAAGACATAAATAGGAAAGTATCTCATAAATGCTTTCCCCAGCCCGGTGGGGCTGCCGCCGCCACTCAGAGCAGCTAAACCCCCTCTACCACAGTGTGGCTTTCCTGGCTTTTCCTCTCACCGAACCAATCATGGAACATTATAACAGCAGCACCAATATTATTTTTTAAAGGCCGATGTTACTCACTAAATACCCACTAAACTGATCTCCTTGCTCCATTTACAGCCAGCTTAAGGGCAAATCCAGATAGCGCAAAGAATGCATCCTTGGGCTCGATCTGCATGCGGCAAGTCAGCAAATAGCCATTATCAGCTTTAGAGTCTTCAAATGCCTGACCCCCCGCCCAGGGGTGGCCAGGTGAGCAGAAGAGCAACCTTTCTGGAGATGGCTGGGCTCCCTCAGGCTCGGCAAACCATCTCTGTGTTCTCACAAGGGATCTTCGCCTTACATCTGACCAGTTAGCAAGGGTGACCGAGGGTAGCCTGGTCACAGGTTGGGCCTAGGTGTGTGTTCCTCAACAGAGGACAGGACTGCATCTCCCTCCCACATGGCCCCCCACTCATCGCTGAGATCCAACAGTCCCGGGAGGCTCTCCTGCAGAGCCAACTCTCACTGGCCCTATGTTCTCCTGGCCCCACTGGACAGGGTCTATCCAAGGGACTGCCACTGTTCACCTTCTTTGACTGACAGGGTCTGAATCCCCCCACTGTGGCCTTGAAGATAAAAATAAAAAAAAAAATGGGATAGAATAAAATCTGGCCAACTTTTTCACCCGAGAGAAGGCTCAGAATCAGAACTTTTATGAGGTCTTCAAAAGGGTCTGCAGGAGAGTAGCATCATATAGCTAGTAAGGTTTGACAAAAGCCTTCTGTCTCTGTGTTCCCACGGTTTGGCATGACAAATGACAAGCTTTCTTGGAGGATGGGGCTCCAGATAGTTCCAGACTCTCCAACAGAAGGGGAACACCAGAAAACACCTAAGTCGCTCTGATTCGAGTATGAATGGCACGTGTGATTGGAGGCAGGGGGCAGGATGTTCGTGCTAACCCTCTCAGCTGATGTTTGGTGAGTCTGCACTTGCTGACTACGTCCCACCGAGGAAGTTGTAAGAGGCAGTGAGGATCAACCCAAGTGGGGAAGATATTTGAGTTCTGCATGAATAATTCGTGCCGGACACAGTCGGAACACAGATTGGTGAGAACGGGCATCGCTGTAACTTCAGCACATTTACTCCCCCTGAGGGTCTAGAGATCACCTGAGCCTACATGTGGTAAAAACATCAAATTCAAATGCCAGCACAGAAACGTGAAAGACTCTCCTCCCTTGAATCGCTAATGCGAAGACAGTGACCAGGAGCCGGTCTGTTTCTCCCCGATTCATCAAGAGAGAACCTTGTACAAGGGAGGAGGCTCCCCATTCTCAGCATCTTTTCCGTGGTTTTAGCCCCAACTCTGTGGTCTATGGAAGAAGTGGGGAGGGCAGGGGGCATACATTTCACAGCCTGGGACTTCAATCAATTCAAAGGGAAAGAAAGACATCTACCGCTCCTCGTGCTAACTGGCCCTTCAATTAGCCAAATGCCCTGAATGAGCGCGCAATGATGAGACAAGGAGGGACAGTCTTCCCCAGAGACTGAAAAACCATGTACCCCTTCCAGTGCACCCTCCACTCCTTGTCAGTGGGCCACGGCCCGGTTGCACCTCCCCGGCATTTAGCAACTGTGAGGTGCTCCCTCTCGGGGAGGGTGTTCCCTCTACCTTAAGAGAAAAGGTGTTTGGGGGTTTTCTGTCTCCCAACTGAATCAGTGAGAGAAACAGCTACAGCTTCCCAGGTGCATCAAAAAGAGGAAAGTCGTGTGGATGGAAAGGAGCATTCACGGTCCATCAGACAGCAGGAGATGGAGGGACAAACGCTAGGTGCTGTAACCCAAATCAGCCCAGTGCCACCAGAGGGGTCCCGGTGCACTTGGCCCAGCTGGGAAGACATAGAGAAGGCCCTGTGAGCTCCTGTGTGGTAAGCAGGTGGTTTGGAGAGCAACAGGGAAGGAAGGCATGGGGCCAGACACCGGTTCGGCCCTGTGCCACGGTGGGGTAAGTCACATGCATGGACAGGACAGAACACGGGTCTGTCCCTTGTCCTTCCTCTGCCACCAGGCCCAAGCCTAGGCTGCCTGACCCAGCCCAAGGTCTGCAGGGAGCTTGCCTGAAATAAGCCCAGCTCTACCTATCCGGATGGAAAGTTCACTCTCTGGGAAGAGCAGCCTGGGACCCTCAGTGTCAGACTTCTTCATCGATGCAGGGGCGAAGTTCAGTGCCAGGGCCGTCGGGGGGTCTTCTGTGGCACCCTGAAACAAGAAGCAGTGACGTCACTGTAACACCCCCACCACCTTCACTCCCCAGACCCCTCCAGCTCAGAGCCACCTGGTCAGCCGGCCGGTCTCTCCCAAAAGCGCTGGGGCTGGGCTCACAAGGAAGACGACGAGCTTTCTGGCTGTAGAGCTTTTGGGGTGACAAAACCCCTGGGATCTGAGGATCGATCGATGCTGATCCTAGAAATGGGAAGAACACGTACTGGGAAAGAGGGGGGCCCCCAGCCCACGCTTCATCACCGCAGGGCAAAGGGCACAAGGGACTCAACTCCCGAACTGTCCCAAGAAGGCTACGTGGCAGGTTCTCTCGGATGGCAGCCTTGCCGCATACAGGAACAAGGTCAACATTTTTAGGAACTGACCACCTTCATGTTTCTCATGAGATCCAAAGGAGAAGCAATCCAAACAAAAGCACCTCAAAAGAAGGAAACAGCGACAGTCGCGGGGACCCAACATATTTGGAGTTAAGTCCAGACTGACCTTAAGACGGCCATGTCACCCTTGTGCTTTGTCTGTAGCTAGTTAATGTGACTGTCTCTACATTAACTAGGCAAAATCTCAATTTCAATCCCTGATGTTTATTTAATACTTATAGACCGCCAACTTTGTGGCTCCTTGGTGAATAAGACAAAGTCATAGCTTCTCATGAAGCCTACATTCCAGTAGGAACAGATAAATGAATCCATAATGGGGCCGAGCTTCTCTTCCAAAGGCATCTGTGGAAACCCCCCAACCCTGCTGACGGCTTACAAATGCACAGGATCCCGATGGGGATGAGGAAGATGAGTAAGCACTCCCAAAAGGGCTTCCATCCTCCAACTTCATCCAAACACACTGATGCTAGTCGCTAAGGGAAGCTGAGTAGAATCATCTTGGTGGGCAAAAAAAAACAAGATATTTTTTTGAAATCCAGGCAAAAATAGTTCCAAACAGAAGGTTCCATTTAAAATATGTGCCTCTAATATGGGAGAGGAGAAGACTGATGATCCGATCATTGAAATGCATCCATTTATAAGCAACTACTAAAAGTCCTGGCTAAGCTGCTTTCATGAAGGAATCTCATCAAAGTTATGCCTGGCTGTGTCTTACACACACACACACACACACACACACACACACACACACGCACAAGTTGTCTCCTTGTTTTCCAATGTCACTGTGGATCAGAAGCAGAAAGAGAATCTAATAATTCAGATATTTTAATTCATTATTTCTTTCCGATGATATGCTGAAAATATAAACATAAGCCTTTCCTCTCATATCTTCCCATTTGTCCAATAGATCAATATTGTCCTAATCATTTCATTGGCAACGTCCTCCATAACACACTTTGAATAAGGATGACGACACCTCATTGAACCTTGTTGCTTAAAGCTGGGGTTGGGGGGCGGAAAGCCTCATGGCTCTGTTTGAGCTTCCCTCGTTCCGGTCGTGGGGTCCCTTTGTGGAGTCCCAGGGGCTGCAGGATCTCCCCTGCTCTGTCCCTGGGAGGAGCACAGACAGAGGCAGCCTGTCACGCCAGATCACACTCGAGGTTGGCACTACAGATGGACGGGATCACGGGGACAGAAGGGACTTGGAGAGGGCCAGTCTCTCCCCTGTCGAAAGTCCCTGTCGGCACCCCCGGGTGACAGCTGGTGTCTGCACCGTGCCGTGGACGGGAGTCACAGCCCTTTGTTTGTTTACGTGCTTTAATTATTTCTAATTCTCTGCCTCAGTGCCCATTGCCAGTGTTCCGGGGGAGAGGCGGGGTGCAAAATCACGCAGGCTGAAAACTACCGTTCTCAGTGAAAACCGGTCTCTCTAAGCGGCACCTTGCTCAACGGGCCAAGTGAGCAGCATCGGGCATCTGAATGCTGAGGAACACTGCTTTCGAACGACTTAGGATGGTCAGGGCCCCAAAGCTCCTCTCGTTGTTGGTAATGCTGGAAACTCATAAACTCTCAGACCCTTTTTTTACGGTGAAGGTAAGAATTTTGCCACTTTTTCTAGGAAGCCTGACTGCCTTCGTGTATCTGGCAAATTCTTACGAAGCAGCAACCGTGTCCCAGAGCAGTGCCAGGTTCTGGCAAAACAAAGTTAGCCGAGTCCCCTGTCCTCATGAATCTTGAGTTCTCCTTCCAGCACAGACAACAAAGTAACAATAAATGCAAAACAGAGTGCCAGGAAGTGATAACGCAAGAAGACAAGGGAGTCCCAGTTAGCAGAGCGGGATGCGCCCTGGGTTTTGGTGTCCGGCGAGGCTTTGTTCCAGCACCTGACAGGTGTGCTAGCCGGCTGGGAAATGTTAAGGATGGAGCACTCCCCTCCAGATAAGATGCTGAGGGAGGCCTCTCTGAGACCGTGGCATTTGAGCAAAGACCTGGATGTCAGGGAAGAAGCCACAATGATTTCTGAAGACCGTGTTTCCGGCAAGGCCCAGCGAGGCAAGCGTCCCCCTGTCCCGCCATCTCCTTTCACCACTTCATCCCACCTCCAACTCACTTAGAAGCTGTCCTTCTAAAAGCTAGACAAGGACCCAGCACATCCCACCTGGCCCGGCCCCCTCCCGTGCTCCCCACCCCACACCCCTTCTGGGGCCACTGTGCAGCAAGAAAGCTGCAGGGCGCACCCACAGGGTGAAGCCCAGCACTGCTTCCACACCCCATGCCTGGCAACGCTCCCTATGTGTCTCTGAGCCCAGACACGGCTGGCTTCCCAGCACTCCTTCCACATTCCCTTCTGGGATTCTCAACGTCCCCACCCTCCCCACTCAACCGCTGATGAGGACAACAGAAACAGAAATACATCCCTCGGAATTTCAAGGAATGGCTCCCATGGGAGATGCCAATGCTGCTTTGTTGGCTCGCTCATAATGCCCATGGAGGTGGGGGAAAAGTCAGGAAGCACCTGCAGGGGTGACCTGCAGAGCTGACCCCACCCCTCACTCCCTGGAGCCCCGGCCACTCCCTGAGCCCACAGACTGCAGGTGGAGGGGGCGCTACCTTGAACACAGGTCTGTCCGCCAGTGACCAAGACCCCGGGGAGAAATTCCTTCTCTACATCTTCCTCTTGCTCTGCTGATGGCAAGACAGCCCTCTTTACTTGTTATCACTGCCTCACATTTCTGGGGCTTTTCTATTCTTTTGTAATCTTCTGCAAAGCTTTTCCATTTGTGCTCCCCACTCGATCCTTGCCGGCCCTGGCGAGGACAGCAAGGTGAAAGCATGATCCCCTCCAGAGAAGACACTTGACTAATGCAAGCTGCTCTTGACTCTCCATCGCAGCCCTGAGAGCTGGCTTGGCCGCCCGTCAGCGGGAAAGGGTCTGGCACTTCTGATTGGGCTCCTGCATTGCTCTGTCACCAGACTGTCAAGGTGCCAGACATGCAGGCTCCTTCTCAAAGTACAGGTCTTGATTTTCTTCAGCACCACCCCCTCCCCGCAAGCCCTCTTCCAGCCCCTCTCCCCCATCCCCACCCACCCCTCCAAAATCCAGCATGGTCCCGAAAGCAGGGAGGGGGCTGCTGGGAGGCACCAGGCAACACCACCCAGGACCACCAAACTTGAGATTGCTGTCTTCTTGCGACAGAATTATTATTTATTATTATTATTGGCTCAGAGCAAGTGTCTGGTTCAGAACAAACACAGCCATTTCCACCCACTCTGGAAGGGCTGCACAAAGGGGCAGGAGATGGAGAATAATTAACACTTTCCAGAAGCCAAAGAGAAGGAATGGAGAGGAAAGGGAAGAAGGAAGAAATAAAATGGGGGGAGGGCGAAGGAAAGCAGCCCCCCAGGAAAGCAGCCCGCCCTTTCCATGAAAACATAAAGGCTTCAGAAAATAATACATATATCGCCTCTAAGAAATAACAATCCAGGCGCCGCTCATTGGGGTTTGCTGTCCCAGGCATGAGGGGGACAACTGCTGCTCAGAAGTTTCTAGAGCCCCAAAGAAATGAGTCCCACAAGGAAAAGCCTAGAGCACAGCCAGGGGGATGCAGCCATGTCCGGATGAAGAAGTCTGTAAAGGTAAACGGAAGCCCCCTGCCAAAGCGCAACTGGACACGGGTCACTAGGAGCCAAAGCGCTGCAGGCCCCAAAACTCATCGCAAGCAGTTCGATGCGTTTGCTCCAAGTCCCAGTGGCCGACTTCCACGTGTCCACCTGCCTCTGGCTCTTCCCCCACTAGGATGTCAACTGCTACGAACACCTGCCAGGGAGGGCAGAGCATTCCAACCTCTGATACTCATGGGTGCGCTGCCTGCCACGGTCGTTCAGGCTGGGGGAGTTCTGGGATGACTCTGAGTGCCCCTGCCCCACGGAGTGCGGGTTCTTGAACTGAGGTTGGCCCGTAGGTCAGAGCTGTCTAATGAGGGGTGCAGGGAAAGGTCAGAGGATTAACAGGGGCCCCTGCCAGCCACCCAGCCACAGGTAAAGCGAGGCAGTGTTACACCCCAGTGGGGAGGGAACGAGGGTCCAAGCGGGGCCGCAGCCCCTCCCCTGGGGGACTCGGGGCAAGCTGATGCTTGGGAAGATGCCCAGAGCCCCTGGGGGCTGTGCCTCCTCCTCTGCGCCCAGCCTCTGCCTCCCAGTATCCCCACTTAACCCAGACACATAAGGTGACATTAAATAATTGATGCTGTTTTTATTACCGGGAAATTGCAATAATAATGACACTCGTAACACAATCTTAAATTATCCCACATAATGGAAAAAAAATTAAATGTCGCCCCCTGATCACTGGCCAGAATAGGGATGACACTTACATAATAGACGACCTTCTCTCCCAGGGAGCCGGGCAGCAGCGTGCTGCCCAGGGCCTGGCTGGCCCCAAAGCCAACAGGGACACAGAGCGGTGTAGACACGGAGGTAGAGGGTACAATCCTGCCTCCGGCTCTCTCAGGCAGGACACTGCCATCTTTCTTACCTCAGTTTCCCTATGTGTTCAGGGATCATGGGTCATTACCAGGAGCCTTACAGACAAGGAAAATCACA